CAGGGAGGAAGAAAAGGCCAAGACCTCAGCTGAAGGAGAGGTCCAATGGGAGACTTTTGGGGAGACAGAAGGCTTGTAATAGCTGCTGTGGTGATTGGGACAAAAAATGGGGGAGGGGAGAGGAGGATGATTGCCTTGCTTCAGTGAGGGCCCCCTTGAAATTAGATAGCATAATTGTATAGTGCACCCAGTTAGCAGGATTGTATTAGGTCAGAGTTTCTCTGGCCTTTTTTGTATCAGAACCCAAATTATTGAGGATCCTGCCCCCAAGAACTGTGTTTATATGGGTTATACTCATGTATATTTACCATACTGGAAGTTAAAATGCCTTAGTATTATTATAAAAAGTTTTTACTTCAAGGCCCCCCTGAAAGGGCCTAGAGGACTCCTAAGGGTCCCCAGGACCATACTTTGAGAACCACTGTAGTTACAACAACTAGCTTAAACGTCTCATTTTAGTCAATAAGTCAACAAGCATTTATTAAGCACTTACTGTATGTTAAGCACTGCATTAAGTATTTACCAAATACGAGTTAAAAACAGGCAGTCCTTGCCCTCAGGAAGCTTGGTTGGTTGTCTGCCCTTCCTTCTAGAAGACAACCGAAATGACATCACCATGCCAGAGTCAAGGTACAGTGTGTCCGACCAGTACAAGCTCTGAATGTTCTACCACAAATCAGGCACAAATAGTTTGTGCAAACCTTTGGGGCGGATTCTCTAAGTTTGTGTATCTTGCATTTCTCTGGAGCTACTTCAATTCTGTTTTGCTTATAGAGCACAGCACCTTCTCTGATGAGGGCATGCCATGCTGGTCTGTCCTATGCCAGTGACTCCCATGTCACTTAATCAGTTCCAAAGTTCTTAACAGAGACCTTGAGAATGTCCTTGTATCACTTCTCCTGACCGTCATGTGAACACTTGCCCTGTGTGAGTTCTCCATAAAATAGTCTTTTTGACAAGCGCACATTTAGCATTCAAACAACATGGCCAGCCCATCGGAGTTGCCCTGTCTGCAGTAGAGTTTAAATGTTTAGTAGTTTAGTTTGAGAAAGGACCCCAATGTCTGGTATCTTATTCTGCCAGGTGATCTTCAGAATCTTCCTAAGATAATTCAAATGGAAGCAATTCAGTTTCCTGGCATGGTTCTGGTATACTGGCATACAGGCATACAACAATGAGGTCAGCACAATGGTTCTGTAGGCCTTCAGTTTGGTAGTCAGTCTAATACTTCTTCTCTCCCACACTTTCCTTTGGAGTCTCCCAAACACTGAGCTAGCTCTGATAATGCATGCCTCAACCTCATCATCAACATGTACATACCTGGAAAGTATACTGCCAAATGAATTTATCCACAGCATTCAGATTTCTCCATTTGCTGTAACCGATGGTTCCATGTTATGGACAATGTGGTGGTAGCTGACGGAGCACCTTTGTTTTTTTGGTGTTAATTGTTAGGCCAAAATTAGCACAAGCAGCAGAGAATTGATCCATACTTCGTTGCATCTCAGCTTCAGAGGCTGCATTGAGTGCACAATGAACAAAAAAATCACATACCAGCTCTCCCTCCACTTTAGTCTTGGCTTGTAGCCTTTTCAAGTTGAAGAATTTACCATCAGTGTGGTAGCTGACCTGATGCCATGTTCATCCTCATTGAAGGCATTTGACAGCACGGCTGAAAACATCGTACTCAAAAGCATGGGAGCAAGCACAGTCTTGCTTCACTCCATTGATGACTGGGGAAGCTCGAGAGCGTCGTCCGTCATCCAGAAGCCAGGCAAACATGATGTCATGAAATTGATGTACAATATTGATGAACTTCTCTGAGCAACCCAAGTTTGACATAATTTTCCGTAAGCCCTTGTGATTGACAATATCAAAGGCCTTGGTCAGATCTACAAACGTATGTGCTCAAGGAGCTTACGTTCTAATGAAGGAAGACAATATATAAAAGACAGCTGAAAAGCTTCCGGGTGGGGGCTATGTAATGGAGGCACGGTGGTGAACAAAAGAATGAAGGGTGACTGATCAGGGTCCCTTTCCAAAATGGAGATGCTTGGAGGAATTTGCCAATGGGAGAAAGGGGTCACAGGGGAGAGGTGAAAGGCAGCTGGGGCATGGTGGTGACATCTACCATTTTACAAAGGAGGAAACTGGAGATGGAAAGTGACTTGAAAGTGCCAGAATGGATATAGAGAGCACCAGACTGAAGAATCCTGCCTCCCATGCTTATGAGTTGTGTTTCCACAGATAAGTCATTTTACTTCCTAGCCTCAATTTTCTCATATTTAGAATGGAGTTAATAATTCTTGTACAACCTACCAGCTTGTCATGGGGCTTTAAAACAAATGCAAATTGAAGTTAGCCCTTTGGTTGTTCCTGGAGTTCCCAGAGAGAATTATAATGGTGGAGTGGGGATAAGAATAAGTTTCCCCCAATGTTTGTGGTTGTTGTTGTTTGGTCATGTCTGACTCTTCTTAACCCCATTTGGGATTTTCTTGGCAAAGATACTGGAGCAGTTTGCTATTTCCTTCTCCAACTCATTTTGCAGATGAGGAAACTGAGGCAAATGAGGGAAGTGACTTGCCCAAGGTCACACAGCTAGTGTGTGTCTGAGGGTGGATTTGAACTCAGCAAGATGAATCTTCCTGACTCTAGGCCTGGTATTCCATCCACCGAGCCACCTCGCTGGCCTCCTACCAAGGAGAGCTCCACACAAGGGTGGGCTTGAAGAGGGAGTTCCCCTTCACTGGAGGTCTTTAGTTACCACGTCTCTGATGTTGTGGGTGGGATTCCTGACGCCTTTTTTAGTCCTGTCTAGCTCAGAGACTCTGTCAGCTACTGTAGACAACTTGAGCCCCTCAGGGTTAAGGTCCTGAGATCCCAGGATTTAGAGAGGGAACCTTAGAGACCATCAGGCTTGATGCCCTCATGTGGTGGAAAAGGAAACTGAGGTCCAGAGAATTCTAGGGGCTGTGCTCAACGCCACATTAGGAGCAAGCAGCAGCCCTCGGGTTTGAATTAGGAGTCAAATCAGATCTTCTGACTCCCCCAGATTTCTATGTGCTTGATCCTAGACCATGACAGTTTCTAGCCCTGGTGGAGGGCTTTGAATGTGTGATGGTAACTAGGTGGAATGAACCCAGGAAGGCTTCCTGGATGGTGAAGGTGGTGGAAGTTACAGCCAGAGTTGGAAAGGTGGGAGGAGGACCATGGATTGGAGAACAGTTCTAGCATCCAGGTGGCCATGTCCCAGGCCCAAAGCTTCTTTTCCCCTCCTGGGTTGTTCAAACATTAAGATGATCATTAACCAGGGCTGGTCAGTGACCCTGGGAGTGATCTGGGACAGAAGGGTAGGAGGGGTCCTGCCCCAGAGCTGAGTCCAAATGGGACCATGCCCAGGCCCACAGGTGATCCAACATCCATATGTGAAGGCAACAGGGGACGTGCCTCAGGATGGGGTGGGGACCTGTCCTGTTTCCCCTGGGGAAGCAGCAAAGACCTGACCAGAACCAAGTTAACCCAAAAGCTGGCCTTGGGGGCAAAGGAGGGTGTCACAAGAGAGGGGAGCCTCAGGTTGGGCTGTGAGACCAAGAGAGGTGAAAGGTTTAGGAGCCAGGGGAGCTGCTTATGAGTATTGGCCTCTCTGTGTGTGTGTGAGAGAGAGAGAGAAAGAGAGAGAGAGGGAGAGAGAGACAGAGAGACAGAGACAGACAGAGACAGAGACAGAGAGAGGGGGACAGAGCGCTGCAAACTTATGAAGTTAAGTGGTACAGTGCCAGGCTTGCAGTTATTAAGCCTGAGTTCAAATCCTGCCTTGGACACTAACCTCTGTTTGCCTCAATTTTCTCAACTGTAAAATGGGGATAATAACAGCACCTACCTCCCAGAATTGGTCTGAGGATCAAAGGAGATAATAATTGTAAAGCGCTTAGCACAGTGCCAGGCACGCAGTCAGCACTATAGAAATATTAGCTGCTATTATCATTATCATTATTATTACCACCATGCCTCCCTATGTTCACTTGTTTCTGGGTGTCCATGTGTTGGCATGTCTGGATATTAACGTGTCTGAGGGTGTGTCTGGAGGAGTCTTCAAGTCTTGGTGGTTATAATAAGGTGAAGAACTGAGGCACCCAGACCAGGCAAATTCCTGGTCTAAGGTCATGTCAACAGAGACACAGAGAACATGAATCATAACCTCAGGTCTGGGGGGGGGGGGGAAGGCAATGATTGATTTTCATGACACTCATAGGAATGAGGCAGTTGGGTGGCGCAGTGGACAGAGCGCCGGACCTGCCCTCAGGAAGGCTCTTCTTTGTGAGTTCAAATCTGACCTCAGACACCTACTAGCCGTGTGACCTTGAGCTAGTCATTTAACCCTGTTTGCCTCAGTTTGCTCATCTGTAAAATGAACTAGAGAAGGAAATGGTAAACCACAAGAAAACCCCAAATAGGGTCAAGAGGAGTTGGACACAACTGTAAAACAACTGAACAACAAAATAGGACTGAAGCTTCATATTTGGGATAAAGTAGACCTCCCCTAATTGGGGGTGGGGGAGAGTGTCAAAGGCACTAGCTTGGAGGAGGAATGTAGATGAAGGGGAAGCCACCAGCTCTCCTCTGATCAATCTCGGCAGGCTTTTGGGAAGAGGTGAGGGGATTCTCAATAGCTGCTAGAACATTCAGAGAGATTTCTCTTGGAGAGGCCCGGGGAGGGGGGTTGGTCTGGCCCTATCAGCCTAGCATGAGGTAGACCTGTGTGTGTCTTCCTATGGCCAGAAACTGTAGCCCAGTCTCCACCAGACCCCACTATCCCCCTTTGCTGGCCTCCTCCCATGTGGGTGCCTGCCAGTAGCATATTTCACCCTTGTTTGCGAGGAGAGAGTTAAGCTAACGGGCCCTGGGCTCGCTCTGGCCGGGGGCCTCGCCCTCCCCAAGTCCCCCGCCCCCTGGCCTCCCTCCAGCCTGGGCTCCAGTTACAGCGCCTGGGGAGGAGAAGGGAGGGGAGGAAGAGGAGGAGGAGGGGGGCGGTGCATCCAGGCCCAGGGGGTCCTCAGCACAGCCTTCGGGACCCCTGAACACAGACAGCCTAGGATCGAGTACTGGTCTGTTTGGGGTGAGCTTTCCCCCAAGCCCCGGAGGTTTCCCAGCCATGATTTGCCCTTTCCCCTGGCTCGCCCTCTGGTTTGGGGGGGAGGGGGTTCCTATTTTGGGAGCAGAGAGGAGAGAATGTCCTGGGCCAGTATGGGAGTGTGTGAAGGAGTACAAGTGAAGTGGGATGATGGGGGTAGGGTGGGGGGTTACCGTGGGTCTGCTTTACCTCGCCTGGCTTTGGGGCTCCTGCTGGAGGGGCTGGAGAGAAAGAGAGGGGATTCTGCTGTTATCTCCTCTGCCCCCCTGACTGGTCTGAGGGCTAGGGAGTAACAGCGGTATGTGTGTGTTTGTGTGTGCCCGAGGAGCCAGGGGTTTGGGCTGTATCTTAGCTACGGAGGAGAGGGGAGAGCTTAGAGGCACCCCCCACATACACACCCCACCCTGGAACGTTGGGCAAGGATGTGACCGAGGGTTACCAGTCTACCCCGGGCTTACCTTGGGCAGGGCTGTTGGGTCAAGCTATGTGCTGGAGTGACTCTGTGTGTGTGTGTGTGTGTGTGTGTGTGTGTGTGTGTGTGTGTGTGTCCCTCTCCCTAACTGGACACAGCTAAGCTTCTCTACCCCAAAAGCTGCTCAGGCTGGCTCTTCCAGATGTAGTTGGGGACAGAGTTCTGTGGGTCTGTTTGTTCGACTGTTCTAGAAATTCCCCGAGAGTTTGTTTTTGTCAACAATGACACCCCTTGGCAAAGTACAGCTGTGCATCAGAGTGGGGGGTGGGGTGGGGGGAGGAGTATGTGCTGGAGCTGACTAGGCTCCCCCTGTCAGTCACTGCATCCCCCTCCCTGAGCGTGGCTGGGTGTCCCTCTGCCAGTTAGAGGGAAGGACAGGGTGCGGTTGTCATGGCTACATAGGGAGGCAAATTCCTCTGGGGTGATGCTGGAAATATTTATACTCCTGAGTCCCATGCCCAAGGGTCAGGCGAGGGTTAGGCAGGATGCCAGGGACGTTACAGTGGCAGAGAATGGGTTATGGAGTGTGTGACCTTGTGTGTGTGTGTGTGTGTGTG